ACAAATTCCTCTGGTTACTTTTGTTTTAATTTTTAATTTAATTTATATTTTAAGTAAATCAGATGCAATATTGTGACAACTGCTGAGAATTCCATTCTGTATTATAAGTACTGTTTTTGGAATAAAGTAAAATAAATTATTAAATTATTACTCTTTGTAACGGAGTCTTCATTGCTCGAATTACTTGTCACCTTTGATGAGTATTCAAAGAAATAAACAAATACTCAGAATTTTTAAAATTATAACTGTGACATAATTTAGAAGATTTGTAGCTCATATGAGTGGTTTTGATGTTCTCTTCTCCGAGTTAGATGGTTTACTCGCAAAGCCTTCCTTGTCCGTCGGGATAACATCTTTAGAGATAGCTTCGAAGACACCAAAAACATTTGAATTCCACTAAGTGAATATTATTCTACTTGTATTCAACACCAGTCAATAGCTATAGTGTGTTCTAAAATACTTCAAAGGTTTACTTACGGTGAACGTAATAATAACAGACTTACTTAATCACTTTGATTTTTAGTACACATACATACACACAAATGCCGAAGCATAGTTATATAAATACAAATAAAAGAAGAACTGTTTATCTTATCTTGTATACCTTTCACAGCAAGAATAAATTTGGGTGAAATGTATCAATGTAATTGATGAATTAACCGACATTTTTATTACTGATAATATTTGTCATTTTCTTTTAACAAACATCACATTATACACTATGCAGTACTAGCGACTGTTCAAACAAAGTAAAACAATATAACTACATGTAAATACTCTGCAAATCAGTAGCACTACAATAAATGATGTTACATGTCGCAAAGTAAAATCGATTATTATAAAATAAAAAAAATTAAGTGAGTAGGACTTCCTTCATCAAGCCAAGTAAATAAAATCAGACTATGCCAGCCACCAAATAAGCCAATTGAATAGAGGGAAGAATGATAAAAACGGAAGTCAGACCGAGGTAAAATTAAAAAGATATGTCAAGAGGACATAAGTTTGTCTAACAAATCTTATATATCATATTTCATACAAGAAAGTGCGAATTTAATCAAAAAAAAGTAACTTGTGTGTAATATGAGTAAGGAAAAAGTGTTCAAAGCGTCAGATGTATGACTAAAGCTTTCAGCAAACGTCACTCTCACTTCTGATAGATTTTTTATAGCTCCTTTCAAGTAGGCTCATGAGTATAGTATTACATATTTTCAGCAAAGTGAAGATTAGATGGTGTTTGATCAAAGGAATTTTTTTCTCTCCTTCACGTTCCCCAGTGGAACATAGGGTTTCAAGCTAGTGGCTTGAAGTTTCTGTATCAGTGTTTATTTTACAGGATGGGTTTGCTAGCCTCAATCCCAACCTTTCCTCTTTACTAGCATTATTTCTGGCTTAGCAAGGTAAAGGAGTGCGTCCGTGGCCGGGGATCGAACCCCGGACCACGTGCATGGTTGGCGAGCGTCCTAACCACTATGCCACCGACGCACAAAGGAATGCTGTAATTTATTTGTTTCTCCAGTAGGAAACACAAGAATTTAAAATAAATTTTGAACATTTTACAAACTACTGAGTACATTATTTTTGCTCACAGTCGGAAAAGCTTATGTGTCTAAATTTAATTCTTTTGAAAATCATAAATGGCGGACGAAGAAGCATATGTCTCAGGCGTACAAACATAAAAATACACTATGAAGTAAGCGCTGCCACATGAAGTACTTACTGAAATTTAAGCCTTTCGCTTTTGTAGACCTTCAGAACAGTATGCATCCTGACTGACAACGAATGCTTTATTCATGAATGTCAGTGGAACAAAAAGCTTCAGTGGGTATTGTAATCACCTTACGCTTTATTAATCACATTTTAAATGTCCTTTTCGTAAAGATATTTATTGGGAACATTTAAACTTACTGTATTTTGCTCTTCTTGATTAGCTTGAAATACAGCTGGATTATGAATCTAAGTTAAATTCAGGTGCCTGACAATCCTTGGCACTCATTGTCAAAAAAATCATAGGAGAAGTAGCTACAAGATAAATATTAGAAGAGGCTACAACATTTTATATAGAAACAGTCAAGTACACATGCTGAGACTTTTTTAAAGGACTCACCACGTACTGATTTTAGCCTTCTCTTTACAGACGACATTAGTTCCTCCTTATTTGGTAGCTATTATTTGATTATATAACTATGATGAGTGAACTCAGAAGTCACTTATTTTCTTTATCCTATTGTTTTTTAAGTTAGAAGTAGTATCATTTAATTCAACTTTAGAATTTGTTTTTATTTTTAATTAACTTCATTTACCCAGAGAGTGTTGATCACACTATTCAAAATATGTTTCATAGATGTATCATATTTTTATCATTTAAGTTTAGTCCGGTAATCACTATATATAAATACTTTAAGATAATTGGTTAACAATATTTGTGAACAGAACAAAGATCAGCGATTATTAGCTCAAAATTGACTTGAAATATTTATAAGGTATTAGACAGTTCACTTGTATTGCTCAGTTATAAAAATGATTAATAATTTCGTCATTCAGACATTAAAGATTTGTAAATATGGATACATTAAACCTTAAAAGGAATCAGTTGAATTCTTTGTATGAAATAGTAAACCGTAGAGAAAGTTCTAGAACTGATTATTCACCAGAAGAGGAGTTTGCCTTCACTTACCCTGAATTTCGTGATTTCAATGAGTTTACTAATTTATTCTTCAGTGTGAGTTTTTATTGATGTTATTAAATTAAATTGTGTAAGGCGTATGAATTAGTTTCTGAGTAGTCAATTATTCTCTGTACAATACTGCAGTTATTATTAGTCACTGAAATGTATGGATCTGACCTTGCTAATCAAAAGTGACAGTTTACAGGTTACCAAGGTTACCTATCATATAGTATCACAAGAGACGTAATGTTTGCAAAAGTAGTAAGAAAAGTAAATCTAACTGTTAAATAATCATGTGCTAATTACACATTCAATGAAATTGAGTATGGTACCAACAGTATTACTCTAAAGCACTGAATTTAGGCATCAAACTAAAATTCAAGAGTTCCAGGTTTTGTAGGGTTGTGCACAAATTTAGCTTACACTACTGGTAATGGCTTTTTGTCACGATCGTCTGAAATACTGGGAAAACATCAGTACCATATGTGTGTTAAAAGCACTTTACGCATAGAAAATATACATTATAGTTAGGGAAAGGTGAACTTAATAAGGTCTCACGTTGAGTGTACAGAGTTAACAATTACAATAAAATTATATTTATAAAAAACTATAATGTAATTGTGCGTCAGTGGTACAGCCGTCAGGACGCTCGCCGACCATGCACATGGTCCGGGGTTCGATTCCCGGCCACCGACGCACTCCCTTACCTCGCTAAGCCAGTAACAAGGCTGGTAAAGAGGGAAGGTTGAGCATAAGGCCAGCAACCCCATCTCGTGAAACCAAACACAACTGCTACCGAAACTTCAAGCCTCTAGCTTGAAGCCCTAAGTTCTACTGGGAACGTAAAGTAATAAAAATTGATGTAATTAATCTAAACTAAATATATGCGGAACACTGAAAACTCGAGAAAAAAATATATATCCTTTCTCAAATTTTTTACGATGTGAATAATAATGTCAAATAATAAGCGAACATGTCATTCATTTTAATGACGTGTGCTAGGGAGACCAGTGTATTCGAGTGTATACGTGTACTTAAATGTAGACAAGCAGAAGACATCAAATTGGATGAGTACAGTGATAAATATCATTGAAAATAACAGCAATAGGTGGAGGTAGATAAAGAGACATTTTTCACCGTTCACGTTCTCAGTGGAACATAGGGTTTCAAGCTAGTGGCTTGAAGTTTCTGTAGTAGCGTTTAATTTTACAGGATGGGGTTGCTAGCCTCATACCCAACCTTTCCTCTTTACTAGCATTATTTCTGGCTTAGCGAGGTAAAGGAGTGCGTCCGTGGCCGGGAATCGAACGCCGGGCCGTGTGTATGGTTGGTAAGCGTCCTAACCGCTGTGCCGTCGACGCACTACAGGGACATAAATAACTGCAATCAATATTTGGCTTAAACTATCCCTCTTTCTCTTATAAATTTGTAAGAAATTCCTAGTGAAAATTAAGCAACAGCTTCGTGATGTCACATTAACAAAAAACGTGGTTCCAAATGTTATAAATCAGCTGATAAACATCGATTTTTCCTTCACTATTTACATTACTAAACCATTATACGTGTATTGTAAGAAGATGAACAGATACTTCAACTCTACAAAATTGAATACCATACGAATATTTTGACTCTTTTACATTAAACAGTACCACTTTACCCTTGTACTGAATATAACAACATGTATCTCACTTGAAATACATGTCGTTTTTAAAACGAATACACCTCTTTTTTTACTTATGATATCATTCCAAAGCTTTATAATGTTATTTAGGAGAATACAGTTGGTCTCGAACTTAGTGAACCAATAAAAAATGTAAAGTTAATAGGTCAGGAAGACAGTGGGACAATTCCTCTAGGATTATGCTCTAAGGACTTTGGCCAGTTTATGGATGATCAAAACTACAGCAGTTCTTTCGTTCATGTTTATGTCATTTGGGCGATCTCAAGGCGATCATCATGGTCAATGATGTGTACATTACTATTCAAATTTTTAGTGACAGTTCATTGACGCATATTTTCCTGTTTTAGAAAGTAATCGGTAAAAACTGTCAAGGTCACAAAGTATAACTTTGCAGCATGGTATCCAGTAGTTTTCTGACGGATTTGGCCACTTGAGAAGAAACAGCTTATAATTCTTTTATTTCATGACAAACTGCAGCTCATTTCTATCTTATTTTCGTCTTCGTGTTTCTTTAAATAGTCATACAATTATTGAATCCAGTGAAATTTGTAAATTCGCATCATATCACTTCTAGTCGAATGTCTGTTTGACATATCATTTTTTTAATGCAATTTATTGATAAAGTCTCTTTAATTTTTATTTAATTTCCTATAGGAAACGGAGTTCACATATGAAATACCTGATTGTTTGATGGATGGAGATTACATAGAGCTACATGGAGTCTGTCATGGGGAACGGTGAGTGTCTTTTAACTGTTGAATTTATTCGCGTATATATCTTCAGGCAGCAGCGTATGTCTCATAAAAAAATATTATAGATGTAAAATCGAAAAAAACTGTGGAAGCAAAAAGGTTTTCTGACGTATAGCAATAAACTTCTATGTATCGAATGTAGCAAATTACATTTTAACCATAGTAATAGTAGACAAATGAAATTGAGAGATTACAGCCTATGAAATGAACCTGTTCAACTCACTGTGAATTCACACTTTATTGAAATAATGTTGAATCCTGTATTACCCTTAATTACAATTTTCCCTTATTTTCGATAGCTGCATGAAGCCAGAACAAAGTTTTTACATACAACTGGTTTCTTGTTTATGCTCTTAGAAGAAATGTCAGTTTACCTTTTGTTCCACACACTCTTTAGTTTTGTATCAAAAATCTCACCAAACACTTAATATTAGGATAATGCACAAAGATTTTTCAAATCATAGATACCCACAAAATTCCATCGAAACATGCTAACCATAGAACCAACTGGCCAGCTCAAAAGTACCCAACCAGAGTACAAATAAAAACTTCCTACCATATATGAAAAATATCATTGGAATGGATTCAAGACTGCCGAAACCTTTTGGAGTAGACGTCGAGGATAAATCACACACAGTCCCTTCACTCTACACCATGTCAACCAAAAGATGCAAAGACAATAGAAGATAAAACCATAATCATCTAGAAGATAAACTGTGACAGTTGTGAAAAACATACTTATAAAATTGGACGTCATCTTCGTCTTCATATCCACTAACATAAACTTTCTATCAAAAGATATGACAGCCAGTCTGTTATATTAAACCATGCAGATAATTACGGATACAAATTCGACTAGGAAAATGTGTAAAACCTCAACAAATGAAACACCGAAAATGCCAGAGACTTCCTACATACCTCACACTCAGACGAATCTGAATTCAGAAGATACACTTGTAGGGATCATATTATTGAAACCCTAAAAATGAAGTCACATGGAATAAAGGTCAACCATCAGGTCAATAAAGTAATCACTACTAACACAAGTCTACAAGAGGGCGAGAAAATCTCTGTGGGTAACCAGTTATGTTCAAGATAACTAAAAGGGATGTGTGAAAAAATCCATGGGGTACCCTAAAAGTTCACTTCATTCGAAGTCAGCGTTAACGATGTTGTCTAGAGAGAATAAGGAAGCTTTTTAATATATGTGTAAAACTTGGGCACTGTGGTAGTTAGTAATTCCATGTTAGTTTGTTTATTAGATATATCACAGAGTGAAACAGTATTATTTACTGGATGACGTTTCGAACAAAATTTATTGTTCATTATCATATCAATTGTAATCACACGACTTCGAAACTTGAGTTTTATAGTTTCCTTGTCCTCTCCTATTTGTTGTAGGGGTGGTAGAATTTTCCAGATGGCTAGCTGGGACAGGTGTTGAATCTTTCCTATTATTATTATATATTATTATTATCACATGTGTTTGCAGTTGATTAGATAAACAAAGCTTCTGTTATCAATCTCTCCCTATACTCTGTGACATTAGATTTTAAAACTGTCATCCTATCCCATCCTATTGTATGGTTGTGTGCAACTGCATGTAGTGAGTGGTATAGCTGAACTATTCTCTAGATTTCTTATCTTAGTGGGGTCAACCAATCTAGATTTTACTGGGTTTTTATGTTCGGCTAGTCTGACTCCCCTATTCTACTAGTTTGACCTATGTACTTGACCTGACAATCATTGCGGGTAGGGTATTAGATAAACTAAATTGTTTTGTTTTAAAGGTTCCACAGGATTGATCCTTTAACCGACAAAGCTTGTTTCTAATTGAGTTTGTGGGTTTGAATGCCAATTTTATAAGAGAAGACAAAGAAAACTATAAAACTGAAGTTTCAAAGTCGTGTGATTACAACTGATGAGATGATTATGAACAATAAATTTTGTTCGAAACGTCATCTAATAAATAAAACTGTTTCACTGTGTGATAACATGGAAGGAAGCTTTTTATTAAAGCAAACATTTCAGAGAACAAAACTACACCAGTACTAACTACATAAAGAACAAATTTTTCCCATCATTTCTAAATCATTGGTTCTCACTAAAATACTATTCTAAATACTCAGAAGTCAAAGTAAATTCTGATAAAAACGTTTATTATCAGTCAGCATAAATAACTTGAACGTTGATTTATTGTTTATATATCTGATAAAATTTGTGTAGGGCACAGGTTATTTGCTTTAAAATGTAGGGATGACTAAATGTAAGAGTATTCCTGTAGAAACAATATATAAGGTAAAGACACAATAAACATTTATAGATACATACATTATTCATGAATCTTCACAACTATGACCATCGCATATCTAACTTTGTTTATGAGTTGTATTACAAACCATCAATCATGCAGTTTGAATAAACCTAAAGATGTTTAATGAATACGATTAGTCGTTTCGGCGATTATTATTAGTTCCTAACACGAGAGAGTACACAATAATAGATGGGGCTTTACGTTCTCTTTTAACTTAAGTTGTAATCTGAAGGCAAATAACCCAAAACAACTAAAATTTGAAATTTTGCATTTTGTAAGACAATCTTCAAATCCAAGTCAAATTATTTAATCATATCAAGTGAAATAATCTTCGCTATCATCTACTTATTAAAAGTTGATGGATTTTGACCGATAATCATCGATTTCATTCTTGATATATTCACATGCCCATCTTAACTTTTGTTCACTTTAAGATATCGTTCCATGAAACACGTTTCATTATGATGCCCCTAGAATTTTGTTAAAAATAACTAACAATATTTCCGTTTTCTTACATTTTTTTCTATTCCTTCACGTTCCCAGTGGAACATGCAGCTTCAAGTTAGAGGCTTGAAGTTTCGGTAGCAATGGTGTTTAATTTTACGGGATTAGGTTGTTAACCTCATGCCTAACCTTCCCTCTTTACCAGCCTTGTTTTTGGCTTAGCGAGGGTATCGAACTCCGGAGCACATTTTTTTTTATTTACAGCTTGATTCCACACTGTATTTTTGGTACAAGTATGGAGTTTTCAGCATGGATATCGGTAGCCCAAATTTTGCAGGCCAACCATAGATATCAGGTGTGCGCCAGCGTGGTCGGCTAGAGTCCTAACCACTGTGCCACCGACGCACGTTTTCTTACATATTTACCCTTAAATAGCTGGTAAAATATTCACACTGAATTCACCTTTCATTTGATAATCATAAGAATAGAACTTTAACATTCTACTTGAAAGTAAACACAAACTAGATGGTTTATTGATTGCATTATACACTGAAATAACAGTAATCGTGGATACCGATTTTAATAACATGTTTAAGGTGACAGCACGGTAACTCAATAGCCTACATACATGCTGCTTATAATTTCTTTATTATCGAGATTGCTGAGATTCTCTAGATTATTTAAAGCCATCCACGAAATACTTCTTTAGCTACCTTGTTATAAGCCTTATTAAGAAGAACGTAACTATTGTATACCTCATTATCATTTTGGAGTGATTACAAAGTGGTGTACCCTTTTATTTAGCTAAAAAACCGTTTTTGAGCTAGCTGTAGATCTGAAGAAAAAGATTTTCTAATTATAAGAGTAAATTACATCTATTTTCCTTTTTAAAAACAATCTCTCTGTAGGATTGTATTTGAGCTTTTAACAAAAGAAGGAACAACCCGAAATAAGCAAGATGAACTACCATTGCAAATTGTCTTAGAAACAAAGGGTCCAGTCTTAGTAATTAGCCGCAATAAAGTAGAAGTTGCAAAACAAGAAAAATTTGTGGGGAATCGAATTCGTGAAAATATGCCTTTTGAATTGTGTGTACATGCTAATGAAGATTATTATACTGTAAGTTCTGTTAAACGTGTTTTTTTTTTGGTAAATTAAGTTTACCATTCAGTAATTTCTATGATGTATTTCTTATGAATGTTTCCTCTTGATAGGAAGAAAGAAGCGACACATGTTTATTTCTTACATTAAAATCATTTACACAATACAAACGTAGAAACACACATACACCTCAACATACATCATTGTTTACTGCAATGCAAAAGATTATACAAACAAAAGGCTCAATCAGTTTGTTCAGAAGCACATATGCTTTAAAAGTTATCTCCCAGTCTTTAGTCGCAATCATTTTGTTTACTCATGATTTCGTATATTTTGTCAAGTCACACCGAAGTACTGCAGCTTTCATTAATCAAAAACTGTCAGTGGCATATGATCTTTTGACAACACAATAAGAAGACGTAGTTTATCTGAAACGTGTAATGTGTTGGCGCAACACATTTCGGACATTGTGATCACACACGTACTTGTCATACAGTTTTTATAGAAGGCAAGAAAGCATGAATAATTACAATACAGGTCAGATTGTGTGCAGGTCAAGGTCACAAATAATGGGTAGGGAGACACAAAAGGTGTGGGTAAGAAAGATAAAGAGAGGAGAAAAAGGCAAAGAAGGGGTTTGAAAATATTATGAAGTAAATTGGTCCTTGGTTCTAAATTGGATTACCAAGGCAGGTCTAAGGTGACAACAAATAACTTTTGGACGCATAAGACAGGTTTAAGTCTTTTTATAGCTAAGGCTTCGATGAATTTAAGTATGTGACCCAACCTTGTCTTATATATCGGCTTAAAGGCATTGTTAAAATCAACCTTATGACCCGTCTCTATAATATGCTTCGCTATAGATGATGTTGGACATCTGTTTCCGGGGTCAATTGTATCTGGCGATTTCATTTGTTGTTGCAGCCACTTTGGAATGTGTTCTGTAGCCCTAACATGCAGAGACCGATGGGTCCTCCCTATGTACGTGTCTCCACACATACATGTAAATCGATAAACACACTGGGATGTGACATTATCGTTCGGATAATGTGAGGGTTTACAAGACAGCATAGTTCTCGTTTTCTCTATGATGATAAGTTTAGCTGCATAATAGGTTCTATTAATTGCGGCCTTTAGTCTTTGTCTAGTGACTAGACTTTGTTGATCACCTCTGGACGGCAAGGATATGTAAACATCCTTTTGGGAACTGTTTAGATTGGTAAAGCTATATAGTTGACGCTTCCGTAACGTCTAATAAATCTCAGTGGGTAATTGTTATCTAACAATATTTCAGTGAGGTGTTGTCTCTCTTTTTCAATTGTATCAGTGGTAAATATACGGTGAACGCGCTTGAACAAACATTTAACCAACGCCTTTTTATACTGTAGTGGACGGAAACTGCGGTAATTTAGATACTGTCCTAATGGTTATGTTTGCATCACTCCTCAGGTCTTATCTATCGATTTGTCAGTATACCCGTTAGGCTAAGAGGTTTTCGCAGACTTCCTTTAATTACCAAATACAAATGAAATTTAATTAATTGAGACAACCAAAGAACACAATAACACCTAATAATTATTTATTTAATTAGGAAAAAGCTATAATAATGATAATAATAATTCTTACCAAGTGAATAATTTCAAATACTAAATCAGTTTTGTGTTAATTTATTTTAGTTATAAATATATATCAAAATTAGCAAATTCTATCTTTTATTTATAATTTTATTTATTTTAGGTCATATTGAATAAAGAAAAAGTTTGTGACCAAAAACATCTCGTACCGCTGAGTGAAGCATTCGCATTGTCAATGAAAGGAAAAGTTGATATATTATCACTTGAATTTAAAGACATATATTATGATGAAGATGAAATGAACAATACTATAAATACTACTCATAATAGCAGTATTAGACATGATGATGTTCATTCAGGATTTGTACGTGTCAATGAATTAAGACAAAGTTCAATACGTAGAAATGATTCGCCAATATTGGTTCCGACAAGGACAAGTTCTAAATTGGATAAATACTCAATAAAAAGTAAAGATAGTAATCTAGAAGTTACCGCTTGGAAGACATCAAATGATTTGTCTAAAGCAGATTTAGATACTGACTACAAAGCGACTACATTAGAACGAAATTCTGCAATACATTCGTATCGTAATAGTAATGAATTTAGTCAAAATTCAGAGTCAAGAATATCTGCAACACTGCCCCCTATAGGCAAAACTTCTAACGAGAAAATTAATGATTATGGAATGGGCAGTCGAGGTAATCTAAACTCGAATGACACAGCACACATAAAAAGTAGAACTGGTATTACAGGTTCTCGAAAATCGGCTACTTTAAGTACCAGTAAAATTGAACAACGTTATAACGGTGAAGGCAGAAGTCAAACAGATGCTGGTGATTTACTTCGAGGAAGTTATTCTGTACTGGACGATGAAGAGCCAGTAATGCCGAGAATTACCGCTACAACATCAACTCCTAACTTGCAAGAAAAGAATAAGAAAAAACGTTTCTCATTATTGGGAAAAAGCAGGAAATCAACAGGTTCTGAGACTGATGTTCGTAAGGATTCGAAGAACAGGAAAGGATCTGCACCAGAAATTAAGTCGAAAAATGGTGAAGGCGAAAAAAAGAAAAAGGGTTTCCATCTAAAAAATCCGTTCAAACGTTCCAAGCCGAAAGGTTATTTTACTATTTTTTAGTGTATGCCTTTTAAGCGTAAAACATTAATGCGTAGAAATCTTTAAAATAGAGCTTCGTGCTACGTTAGTATTTAAAAGGCATTTCCTTACGATATATTGATCCGCCTACAGTAGAACTCGGAATGAATAGATCAAAGCGTAATTGAGGAATTCAAAGCTTTCCTGTGTTTCTCTGCGCTGCTTATCTGACGACTTTTCTCGGTCAGACGTTTTTTTAAATCCGTAAAGTACGACGTAACACCATACAGGAGCGTTTTGCGAAAAGCCGGCAAATCCACGTAAAATGAATGTTTCAGCGGCGATGAACGCTTTTCGGATTCGCCGCCAGTTATCACGAAACATATACTTATGTTAGGTCGACATCGAGAATAGTCACTTTAGATAATGACGTAGAAATGTAAAATATGCGATTAGCTATTACTGCGTAATATTTGAGTAGTTTAGTGTTATTATTTAGTCGCTGCGAATTAAATTACAATTTCGAATACGAAAGCGCAATACATTGAAACAAATTATTCTCAGAGCCGTCTCATTTAAATCTAAAATCTTTTTGTGTTATACTGTTATTTTAAAGTATATTTGTAATAATATTTTATATTTCATACAAATACATATACATAATTTAAAAAATGAAATTGTATTCACTTATGTCAACACATCACTTTCTATACTTTTAAATGTCTATAAAATCAGAAGCATCACCAATTAATATGAAATACCAAAGACTACAAGTTTACAGAACAATTAATAATACTAGTTATTACAAATAAACATAGTCACTCCAGTTCATAATCAGCCCTATGGATTATTTTAGTGTTAGTAGTATCAAATGTATTAATAATTAAGCGTATCATGTAAATTTAACTTAAAACCATCCAGTAGATAAGTTTCTTTTAGAAATCTACTGATGTGAAATTAGATTTCATCACTATTTCACATTCCTAACAGAAATAACTAAAATCCCCTAACACTGGTTTTAATTTACTAGTCGAATAGTTTTACTTGGTCTTGCTTGCTACTACTTCAGATGCTGTGTGATGATATGCAAGGAAAATACAAAGGAATAGTTAACTACAAGTGACTAAATATCAGCTTCTCTTGAGACAAGAATACCACTTCAGGGTTAGCAAAACATCCTCTGGAGCTAAGTTTGTGGATACAGACTGTCATGGCTTAAATTAATAATAATGATAATAATAATAATAAGGTTTTCTATCGTTACTAAAGTAAACTAAACATAAAGTAGTCCATAGAAAAATAAATTGGGAAAAACCTTGAATTAACACAGACTACTTTATGGATACGTCCTATAGCTTGAAGACCAATAGCCTGTATGTTGTATGTAACAAAGAACTAAAGTTTCAAGAGGCATTTAAATATAAAATTATTGTTAAATCTTGTAAATTGTTAGTTTAATTATATCAAGTACATTTATTTTATATTTTATGATTATATACTTTTTAGAATTAACACCTACTGCATCGTCTTCAACAAGTCTAAACAGATCTGATCCTCGTATGGGGAGTCGTTCTCCAATTCCTGCTATAAATGTTTCCATTAATGACCGACTACCAAAAGAGTTATCGAAAAAGCCTGCGCCTGAAATTGCATCGTATCTTATTAAAACCAATCCTTCAACTGAATTTGATACAACTAATCTAACTGGTCGAAGAAGTTTATCTGAAGACGTTTATTTCAGACCGTTTACCTCAACGTCATCTCACTACGATGAGTATGAAAACCTAGGTAGTCACACCGAAAGGCTAAACAGTGATCATATTAAAAGGAAGAGTTTGAGTAGTTCACGATTGTCAAATGACAGCCCATCGAGAGGTGATTTGCAATCACACCTAAAATCAAAAAGTCCAGCCCCAGAGTTGGCAGCAGTTATTCACTCTAATGATATGAGTCCGAATTTGGGTGAAACTACTATAACCGAAGGTATGGATACCCACTTTGTATCAATGTCGACAGTGGATAGATTAGAAAAGAAATCGAAAAATGACAAAACCCCTACCTCTGAGAAGAACTTGAAGCTTAAAGGACCAGCTCCAGAGTTGGCAGCTATGATTCATGCTAAAGGTATGAGTCCGAATTTGAGAGAAACAACTATCACAGAAAGCTCAGATTCTCAATTTGAATCAATGACAACATTGGAGGATGGAGAAAGAAAACCAGGACAAAGCAGTGCAAGAGAATCATTAGCTAATATTAAACTTAAAGGTACAGCTCCTGAAATAGCATCTATTATTCACTCAAAGAATCTAAGCCCTAATATGGGTGACATTACTCTCACACAAAGTTCAGACCTACCGCATACATCAGTTCCCACAATGAATGATATAGGCAGTAAACCATTTAAACCAAATGGGAGTGCTTCAGAAATAGCCGCCCAAATTCATAATAATAACTATTCGGATAGATTACCTTATCCAGAATACACCATTTCTGGTACTAGTGAAACTGAAAAGCGCAGCTCACTATATTATGAAGAATCTGGTCAGATAGTTCATGAAAAGAAAATAAAAACCACTCGTAAAGCTATTTCATTAAGTGAGTATGTATCAGATGCTGATGGTACAGAAAGTGGAGGTAGTGATGTGTTTACAGACAACGAATGCTACTTAGAAGTAGGTAAAAGTCAATATTATTTCGATCGTAAACGTTCCCTGAAAAATTATCGATCAAAACGTTCAACAAGAATGGAACGAGAAGCCAGGCGTAAAATGGGGCTAAACAGAAATGACAGTGAAGAATCACAAAGTAGCAGTATCTCATCACTAAAACCAACTGATCGAAAATTAACACCCAAGTATAGAAAACGCCAAGGGGCTGGTAAAGAAGAGGTTTCATCTTGGTTAAATAATTACGAGTCAAATAAGCAAAGTAAGTTTCACGTATATTTAACCCTTGTTTACGTAAAATGTAATTATCTTTATTTTCATAAAACGTGCTAAATTTGTTTGTGATATCCAGTAGTACATTGTAAAAAAATTTTCGTATGCAAACAGTAGAACTTATCTTACTTTCCAATAAATTGTCTGGTGGCAATTATTCTTCACGCAATGAGTACCACTTATAGCGCTTTAGTGAAGGCGAAGAACAACGAATAAGTAGTTTGTCTGCTTTCATTTTTGTAGTGTTCATTGTGATGGAAATTCCATTTGTTCAGATTAATTTGGTTTGAGGATTTCATCATGAGCTGACATCAGTTGGAGAACCATTGAAAAACCACTTAGGAGTACTAACTAGCTGTTTCGTCTTAGTTTGGGACTCTTCGTCAGTACTCACCCATCAGCGGATTTCAAACCTAGGACCTTCTTATTACAAGGCGAGCTCATAGACCATCAAGCAGCTGGGACGCAATCCAATGTCCTATGAATTCTAAATTCCTCCAGTTCATGACACAGTGCGACCACTTCGAAACCCGGTGGATGCTGATGAAGAGTCCCAAAATAGGACGAAACAGCTGTTCAGTACTCCTAAGTGGTTTTCCAATGGTTCTCCAACTGATGTCAGCTCATTATAGAATCCTCCAACCAATCAAACGAAATCACTACAAAACACCGATACTTGAGAATGTTCAGATTTATGCTGTCTGTTTGTTATTGACTTGCAGCAAAATTAAGAATGTGTATTTCACCTTTCATTTTGAAACTGGATATAAACACTTCTTAATAAGGAATGCTTATATATTCACTGGAACTTTTACATAAAATCCATCAATTCAAATTTCTATCTTAGTAACCATCAGTATCTAACTGTTACAAAGAAATTAGATTTTTCAGTTGGTTTAAATAACGTTTTATACAGAAAGTGGACTAGGTTGAAATGAACTTGAACTCACTAAGTCTATCAACCCTTTAATCAGTTATTCCATCATTGGCAGTTATCGTATAGTTTTAGAAAGTGAATCATATTTGTACTCATTTTAATTTAGTCAACTTACACACTTAAAAGTGCGCTTGGTTATTGCGATCTCTATCATACATGGTAAAACTATGTATTATTGTAATACTACTATTTCCATAGGTTCCAAGTGGAACATAAGGCTTCAACAACACACCGCCACTTTGTTCTATTTTCTGCCGTTCGCTTCAGCTGGGTCCACGATTGCCCATGACCTCTCATCTCCTCTTTGCACTACCTCCTCCATGTCACCTTAGGACGACCTACTTGTTGCTTCCTATTTAGATTCCACTCCACCAGCCGGCGCGCGATGTACTAATTCTATTAAAAGCAGTCGTTCTTAGATAATCATTGTTGATACTACTGTCAAGAATTCATGGAAGCTTCGTAAATCCTTTCTTATTGTAGACTTACGAAGTAATCTTCATAAAGAACGACTTAATAATTTAGTTTAAGGCCCTGTTATATGGTAAAACCATCTATTTTCTTTCCATACAGCTTATGGTGCGGTAAACGTAGACGGGAATATAAGGCCTATGTACAAATCACCTGTTATGGCAGCGGGGTGTGTAGAACAGCAATCACTTCTTCATAAATATATGCTAAAAGATATTGACCAGGTTAGTTCTTTTTTTTAAATGGTGGTAGTGATAGTTGCTCCTTGAATAAAACCTTCTGTTTTATGTGAATACAGTGATCAAAAAGAATGTATTTCTCCGTAGGCTTGGTTACTAGTTAACTAAGAATTTAACTCTAAAAGTTTCATAAAATATAACTTTGCAAAAGTCAGCTTAAATAATGCGTTTCTTACGTTTGTGCATTTTAGTTTATTATTGATTTATGCATATAAGAAATACCACACTGGTTTATGATTTTTGTACTTTGCCTTAGCAGAGTAAGAGAATAAAAACTTAAATTAATTATCAGGAATTTTACGAGACTGTAAACGCATCCACCTTTGACAGTAAGCAGAAGTAAGAAATCGAAGCATGTCTTAAACACTTTTTAATGGCGCGACTACTGAATTCTGTTTAATAAATGCCTAAATATCTAAACATCCATCTAAATGTAAAGTGATCATGTATAATTGCCGACCACTGATGATGATGTCTACAACCATCACAGAACTTCAGAGAAAAGATTAGGTAACAAGATTAGTTGAAAAAATTAAACAAATTGAACAGCTTAGAGTTCTTAGTGAAAAAATTCTTCTGCATGAATTAATGTCGACTAAGTGAATGCTTTTGTTTTTAATGAACACTTAAGTCGGACAAATAGCGACTTTAGGATGGCATTCATTTAATAATTTCAGTATCTTTCAAAAGTGTAGGAAATGAAATGGTAGTTTTTACGAGGAAATCTGATGTGGATGATTGCCGTCTATCACATTCGTCCAGAATAAAGGGTTTTTTTTTATTTTTGACTATAGCTTGATTCCACATAGGATTTTTGGTACAAGTATGAAATTTTCAGCATATGATATCGGTAGCCCAAATTTTGCAGGCTGACAATTGATATCAAGTGTACGTTGGCAGGGGATCGAACCCCGAACCATGTGCATGGTCAGCTAGAGTCCTAACCACTGTGCCACCGACGCACTTAATAATACTTGCCGTAGATTTTTTTGAAAAGAAAGAACAGTGGACCTTGATTTATACGTTTTGAACAACATGCAGTTTCAGTGAAAGAGTCTATCACTGGACTGAATAATTTTAGAATATGATTTTTCACAGAGTGTATTCAGTTTCAAAGTTACTGAAAACTTGTAAACATTAAATAGATGTTTGCTCTTAGTCTGTTATCTTCGTCAATGTACGTGAAAACTGCCGATAGTAATCACTTTTATCAAACAGTAATATGTCATGATTTGTAACGCTGCTGTGCAATTGTATGCTATTTTCAATATCTATCCAGTTGTTAACCTGTTCATTTCTGTTATTACAACTTAACATTTTTCCTAAAGGAATGTAAATTCAGATTAATTTGCTATCTGCTTGAATAATTTACCTTTCACGTTGATCATAAGAAATTTTGTTCGTATCATGACTAATCATAGTTGGATTGCAAACTTCATCACTTTTGAGAGTTCAAAAGAAGCTTTTATTTGCGAACTACATTTAAGCTCATAACTGTGGTATTAACTCTTATTAATCACCCAACAAGTTAAGCCCGTTTCGATTACATACATCATTAACTATGTGTACAAAAAACAGTAGACTTCAACCTTCGCCTACGATGGATTATTTGAACTATTTAAATACGATTGGTCATTAGTATGTACTTTATTTTATATAACTGAGCAATTGTCATGCACTTCATTCTATTATTGTTAACAATGTTAGTTATAAAGCCATTGTAGAGGAACTACGAAAAGCTATCATCTAGCGAATTATCTTTTCTAAATGGCTTATTCAAATTTTTATTTGTTTTAACTGATTAAAAATGCCCGTTAAAATTTACAAAAGAATGGATACTGGACAAAGAGGACTCTTTTCGATAACCTGTTCTTCATCAGGCTATACAGTTATATATACATTATAGTGAATGAATCAGTCAGTGTTATGAACGACATTAATGTTTAAATAACATCAAATCAATAATACTGATAGATTACAGCTAAATAGCATCAACATAAAATAAGCTGAACGTCAGAAGAATTAGGAAGGATAATATTACAAATTCATGAATTTATAGTTTCTACTGAAGGCTGGCCAGGGCAGTAGTAGGGGCTGGACTCGCTTCTTTCGAACACAGAGCGCTGGCTGTTTGAGGTGAATCGCAATAGCCTGTGCTGTCTGGAGTATGCGGTGATTCGATGATTTCGGCAACTTATTAGGCACCCGGTATATTATAGAGAAGGATTCATCTACTCTGGCTGGCTTTCTGGCCTGTTTGCAACAGATGGTCCAATATCGAGCTGATAATGCTTTCCACTACACCTTTACTTAGCCATGGTGGGAGATGTTCCCGAATGAGCACGAAAATCCAGGTTCCTAGAGCAACGGCCAATATAACTCGCTCCACAAGCGCAGTTGAATTGATAGATACAGTTTGAAGTGGCTAGTCTAGGTGCTTCATCTTTCAGTCGAGGAATCACCACCGGTCGTGTGGAGAATAATACGTGTAGTTCTTCAGCATTAAGAGTTCTTTGAACTGATCTTCTTAATTTCTTCGCAATTATCTCGCTTGGTATATCACCCATGAATTGTAGTCGTATATAAAGAGGCTTCGTAACACTAATTCATTCATTCATTCACTATAATGTATGTATAAATATAGAGCCTGATGATGAATTTATCGAAAAGAGTACTCTTTGTTCAGTATCCATTCCAATCGGTTTATTAATGAGTGATATGTTCAATTTGTTTTTTTCTTTATGTTGAACAAATTATTTTTAACTTTGCCCCTAATTTCTGACATCTATTTTTCCCTATCTATAGTCGATAAATTGTGATTTCAACATTGAATTACCACATTCACTTACACTTGGACGAAGTGCACTTCTTTATGGTCATTTCAAATATGATTCACCTGTTGTTCAATCGTGTTTACTAAGACTTAATTTCACAACTACACAAGAAAGCGAAGCGTTTGAATCACTTTATCTTAGAATATGGTCAAATGGTGGTTTAGATGTGTTAAGAAGCAATCACAGTTTGAATTCAGAAAATCTAATTACTTCATCGAATTTCATACAGCATACAACAACAGATGGTAGTGAAATGGACATTAGCAATAAACAACTGACAACATTCCAGTTACAGTTCATTTGTCAAAGTCTTTACTTGGCTGTAAGTTTTTGTTATTGGTTTTCTTTTTAAAATTAAAATGTTTTAAATAAAGTATTAAGTCTATTAGTTAAACTTCAACTCAAACTGTTTTTAAAAGAAAAGTTTTAAACTGAAATCTTCCAGTGATTGAAAAAAAATTTTTGATTGTATGGAGGATTTCATCATGAGCTGACATCAATTAGAGAACCACTGGAAAACCTGGAAGTACTGAACAGCTGTTTCGTCCTAGTTTGGGACTCTTCATCTGTACGCACTCACCAACCCAGGACCTTCTGGTTACAAGGTGAGCTCGTAGGCCATTGAGCCACTGGGACCTGATCCAATGGTCCTTGAATTCTAACTCCTGCCAACTCACGACAAAGCGCGACCATTTCGCAATGTCTTCTTCAATGAGTTACCACCTCATGCTCAACCTGCTGTACCCTACTGGTCACGGCTTTCCACTAGAACTCCAGGTAAATACCCGAATAAGGCCAATTGCTACTGAGCATCAGAATAATTTTCAAGTATTGGTTTGGTATTTGTAAAATGATCATGACAAAGACAGATGTTTCCTAATTATCTGGAAAAAAGTTTAGTTGAAAAAGTAGTCGGCTAAAAAATTTCAGCTTTTTTGACAGGATTAAAATGAAAATAACTAATATAGTGATAATGTGCTATTTCGGTATTCACTTTTCAGCTGAACAGATAAAGCACTTCCCACAATTACCTTTATCTCACTTATCACAACCCGTCATAACAACTAGAAAATAACTTTTTTAATTTATAAAATGGGTTAAATATATAACACACTTGAATTCCAAATAACCCCGCCTAGCCCCTCCTCAGTCTAGAAAAGAGAAAAGTTTTAGGCTGCGACTGGTAAGCTCACTCAAGGAAAAAGTAACCATGTTACTAATGATCGGCCAGTGCACCGAATAAAACAAATTTATTTCCAGCCTCTGGCATACATCAACAGCTGCCTTTGCTCAATGATTCTGAAGATCAGATGGTCAGTCACAAAAAACTTTCCCAATGAGTCAACAATTAATCTATTACCCAATAAACATGCAGAAGGAAATGAAGATGGACTGGCTTCACGCTGAGAAGACCCTACAGTGGTACCGCAAGTCAGACTGACCCTCAAGTGGAATGCGAATGCTAAGCAAATGACATGGAAGAGATCATATTAAGAGGAAATATAGGCTTGTGGACAGTTGTTGTAGAAGCCATCAAAAATAAGTGAAGAAAATTGAAACAGGCTCTGCTAAAGCCCCCACTGTAAATATCAGGAACGATAATAACTCAGACTGAAAGTTCTAAATTTATAATTACCAAAATAATCAACAGAAGAGGAATCATTGTCCAATTACTTGTCAGACATTTCCATCGCCATCATCACACATGAGTTCTTAAAGTTTAGTTGCATCTTATGGTTTCTTTTTTCATAGCAGGGTGATCATTGTCTTCACTCCTGCTTTGCCTTATAAGAAATACAAAGATAATTTACTTGTAGTCGAAGTTGTACACCTTTCACAAAGTTTATGTATATATTACTAGAATTCTCAGTTCACTAATTATTACTGTTATTATTAATACACTGATTAGATAACTTCAAGTGAACTCTTCACTTTGCTGGTCAAAAATACTCTAACTAATCTATCTAATTATTGTCTGAAATCATTTGAACTAGAAGATTCTACAACAGCTGAACTGGATAGATTCGTTATGTCAAAACATGTGGTAAGTATTTAAAAAAAATGTAAATTAAATAAAGTGAATTTAATGCAACTTTCTTTTCAAATATTATTCATTATAATAATAATGGTGTTTCAGCGTTAGTTGCTATTGGAAACCAACAAGCATCAAGTTTGTTGTTTCTTGTCGCAAAGACATATCTAAATCTTTGATTAAACTTTTCTTTTCATTTCAAAATTTCATCCCACCTTATTCACTGTCTAATTCTGTCAAGAAATCCTGATCATAGTTGACGCAATGTAGAATTGATGAAAAGTTCAAATTAGTAATCAAATGGTAAAATATTTAGTTGTCTAGTTCTAAGTTCAGTATCTACTGGTCATGTATTCAATAGAGTTTTGTTTTATTTAGCTTATTGATCATGATACATACGCGACTGGCAGCTCTATTTCACTATTCACAGTTGCACTTAAAACTGGATAAATCGATCATTTACTACCTAGACACTCATTCATGGGCAGTAATTAATTTGCTAAAAGTAAAGAAATACTTTTGTTTGACTTTACGCTTTAAAAATTCTCAGGATTAACATCTTGTTGATAATAAATTAATTGATTAACCCCCCAAAGCTGTTGCAGCTGACATAAGTAGTAAATTGCATAAAATGTATTCAAATGCACAGTGTAGAATCTTTACCTAAACAAGTTATCGCTATCGATATTTCACTGAATTACTCCTTTCTAAGGAAATGGTTTCATTCGAATTCATTATTTTCTAGATACTGTTAGAAATTGTTATGATGTGTAACAGTGATAAGTTCGATGAGATTTAGTTAGTCTTTTTTATCTAATCACTGGGGTCACAAAAGCAGATGTGATGTAAATTCATCAAGACCATTTTGCTTTATGGTCGAAAAATTCCTTTATCTAGTTATTGTGTTGAGTTGAAAAAATTGTGTGTACTGGGATGTCTGCGACTTGGAAGATTTTAGTACTTCCTTCATTCTCTGACTATATAACACTTATTACTTCTTTCAAAATATCATTTTAGTTAGTCCTCAGGTACTACTCCAAACTGTAATACAAATATTCTCAGATAGTAATACAGAGAAAGGCTGAATTTACAGGTCTGGCTAAATGTCACAATTCAAAAGAATTCATCTGCATGCTGAATGAGAATGCTTGGCGTTAAGGATTCTTTTCTTAAAATAGTTAGAACACGACTTTCTGCAATAGAAATCATTCTGATTGTCAATCAAATTTTAATACCATATCTATCTACCACAATAGTTTTAAATTTGCGTGTGAGAGTATGAATCATCCAACAGTCAATATAAACAAACTTGATTTTATTACTAAAATTAGTGAAGTATTATGCCTCATGTGAAAGTTGTTACCATGACAAACCTGAGTCACTGGAAGTAACATAATACAGAGAATGCTGAATAAACAAAAAAATGTTTTCATTGAAACACAGAGAATAACGTAATACTTTAATTGGTTTAGCTAGATGGTTAGTAAATATTCTCAAACCTTTGCATGAGAAGATAGTAAAATATAGCGTCAAAGATGTATTTGAATTTGTAGACAAAATAAAAAATATTAATATCAAGGACAAAACCACGATATCTCTGGACATAACATCGTTATTCACAAATGTACCTCTAATAGAAAACAGTTAATTACATAGGTGAACAAGTGGACAAGCTGTCGATAAACATTGGCATACATACTGAGATCCTAAAAGAATTGATATTAAGATGTACCATGAATGTAAATTTCAAATTTAACGGCATGCTTTAAAGGCAAGTGGACGGGGTGGCGATGAGCTCCCCATTGGGTTACATTGTGGCTGATTTCTTTCTAAGTAACCTAGAAAATGGACCTCTGAACAACCTTATCAGCAAGCTCTCATTTTATTGCCGATATGTGGATGATACCTATATTCTTTGTGATAATGATTCTGATAGGAGTACAACAATTACTGAATTCAATGAAGTACATTAGGCTATGAAATTCACCTTAGAAGGGAATGCCAAGACAAAAATGGCCTTCCTGAATGTCCTACTTACAAGAAAACCAGACGGTAGCATAAAAGAAAAAGCACTTGGACAGGACAACATACACATTTTCACAGCTTCGTTCCAATCAAGTACAAAAGAAATTTAGTGAAGATCCTCAGCCACAAGTTAGAGATATATGCTCAGAAGAAGTAATTGAAGATGAATTAAACATTGTATATGATACTTTGATCGAAAATGGCTATCCCGACAAATTTATCAAGAAACACATGAGAAAGAAAACAGAAAAGGCTACTCATTACAAATCATGGGCGATATACCAAGCGAGATAATTGCGAAGAAATTAAGAAGATCAGTTCAAAGAACTCTTAATGCTGAAGAACTACACGTATTATTCTCCACACGACCGGTGGTGATTCCTCGACTGAAAGATGAAGCACCTAGACTAGCCACTTCAAACTGTATCTATCGATTCAACTGCGCTTGTGGAGCGAGTTATATTGGCCGTTGCTCTAGGAACCTGGATTTTCGTGCTCGTTCGGGAACATCTCCCACCATGGCTAAGTAAAGGTGTAGTGGAAAGCATTATTAGCTCGGTATTGGACCATCTGTTGCAAACAGGCCAGAAAGCCAGCCAGAGTAGATGAATCCTTCTCTATAATATACCGGGTGCCTAATAAGTTGCCGAAATCATCGAATCACCGCATACTCCAGACAGCACAGGCTATTGCGATTCACCTCAAACAGCCAGCGCTCTGTGTTCAAAAGAAGCGAGTCCAGCCCCTACTACTGCCCTGGCCAGCCTTCAGTAGAAACTATAAATTCATGAATTTGTAATATTATCCTTCCTAATTCTTCTGACATTCAGCTTATTTTATGTTGATGCTATTTAGCTGTAATCTATCAGTATTATTGATTTGATGTTATTTAAACATTAATGTCGTTCATAACACTGACTGATTCATTCACTATAATGTATATATAACTGTAGAGCCTGATGAAGAACAGGTTATCGAAAAGAGTCCTCTTTGTCCAGTATCCATTCTTTTGTAAATTTTAACGGGCCGTTTTAAACCAGTTAAAATTTGAATTCACGAAAGCAGTGCAGTTATATGAATGAACCAAGCGAAGAATGTTGTAAATTGTACAACAGTTCTGCACTGAAGACAAATGCTTGTTAGGCCTTCATTTAGTTCATTTGTTCAATAGATATGAAATACTGGATGATACTATAATTTGTGCTCAGATCTCAACATTCTAGAATTAAGTAATCACTTGATTAGGATTAAGCTAAGAAACTACATTTCGGTAAATCACATTATTTATTTACAGATGTATATACATTGATTAACATTAACAAAGCCTAACAGAATTTAAGATACTATACTTATCTAATAAAGGGAGGAAGTCAGAGGAAAATGAAGTTGAATTTATGTAACTATGGTATAAATAAAAAAAGAAAGCAAAACATAAGAAGCACTGAGTAGTGTTTATTAAACATAAAATGAGGTGTGGAGTAATACAGCAGTAACATTGTTTTCCAAACATATATTTTAGTTAGATTTTATTCAGACTTAAATCTCCCACCCCATTCTGCTAAATATTCTTCTAACTAAGGATAGACAAACGTAGCTATGGATCCCATATTGTTTAATAAGTGTGTAAAACATAGGCTAGAATAGATTTAAGGAATGTCAATCCGTCTCACACTTATGTTTTGGTTACGTGATAATGTTTACTGTGTTACATATTTTGTGAATAGTGGGGGAGAGATTCACAATCATAAATTTGATACACTTAGGTGGATGGGGAGATTGACATTGTATCAATCAAGAATGGTTCTACAACTATTTCTGTTGAAAAATATTTTTCTGTTTCACAACATATAATCATGAAGAATGATACTTGATATGACTTTGGAAAATAAATATAGTTCGGAACTTGACTACTTTACTGCTTTAAATAACTATACAATTAGAAAATACGAACTTTGGTTTCTGTACACAGTTGCATGGATATGCTACTTTCACAATTATCAAGTCGCATACTGAATAATGAAAGAATACTAACGAGTTTAAAAAGCATCCTAAGTTTAATTCTAAAGTTACTGTGACATTCATTTCATCAAATATGTCTCTTTGCAATCTCTGCTAAGAATCATTCCATTCCCTATTCTGCACTTGTAATGACATTGCACATTTATTAATGTATATCGGAATAGCTTAAAGTACTTGGTATTCGCATTTTTTGCTGGAAACTCATGTCGTTTAACATAATAAATTTGTTTTCGGTTGGTGACCAGCCAGAGTATTTTGAGCGCTGTGAATTATCGTCCAGCGGACACTTCTTTTACTGAAACTGTCTTAATTTCACCCCGCTTAGATATCAAAGGAACAAAAGGAATTGTTTTTTACCATGGTAGGTGACCACGTTATTGCAATAATACATAGTTGAATCAGTAGCAATGAGTATATTGTACACCAAAAAATATCTTATATGAGCGTCAGCAAAGCTAATATATGTCTGTAACCAATTTTCCAATACCACGATGTAATAAATATTAAAGGTGACGTAGCAAAGTAGATTACACTTCTGTGAATGCTACAATAGAAGTATTTTCGAGCAAAGTCAAAAAATAAATGCTTACCTAAACGGAAGCAACAATGAACTTAAAATTATCAAAATGCGAATCTGGATCCTTAACACAACCTTAATCTATCCCTAATCTAACTTTAACCTTACCCTATACTGGGTTATCCTGTCTAATAATCCTTTATTTCTTTCAACACAATGTTCTTATAAATTTAGATTTATTTACGTGGTTTCACTTCCTTGCGCTGACTAAGCATTTCAAAGTCATTGGGAATTAGTTCCATTGGAGGTGCATTCTTTAACTTTGCTTATTTTTATTTATTATAGCGGTATTCTTAGCAAGTCAACTTCCTTGTGAAAAATATCAGAAAGGACGATAATTATTTGACGCTTGACTTGCTCTAAGAGGATGTATCTTTGTGGAATATTTTCATTTGTCTCTATGCTTTGATTCTGTTTCACTAACATCTACACTATGTTTCGTTTGAACATAATATAGAGCTTAAATTTGCGAAAAATATCAACTAATAAGTGGTCACGTCATAATGATATTATCTACTCTTTTTCTCTGTGATACAAACCTTCAACTTCGTAATTAGCGCCGAACTTATCTCCAACAAGATCTGAAGGAAGGCATTACTTTGTTAAAAGTCCAAAAGTATTGATAGCAGTGAATTACCGTAAAGGAAAACAGAAATATCTAGTCAATGGGTTTCTAAACTTTTATTATTAGAGTCGCAACCAATAAAATGAACTACAGATAGTCAAATGAGAAATCGGGTTCCATTCCCGGTAAATGTATTGTGAAAGAATTTGATAACATGGCAGACCAGCTGTGGAGTGTCCGAATCTAGATTTCAGTATAAGATAGGCTGTTTATAGCCTCTTTGGTCTTTCAAGTTATTTAAAATGTCATCTTATCCTTTCCAAGGTCACCGCAATTGTATTTACATAATAAAATGTTAAGTATTTTATGTAGATTGAGTAAATAAATTTTGTAATTCGGTTTTTTTTATATATATTGAACTCTAATATGAATGCATAAATTAACTTAAAAATTTGTCAGTTCAACAAAATGTATTCATAAAACGAAGTGTTAAGGTACTCACTATTTACTTGAATGCATTATCCTTTTGTACAATGTCCTCATTGAAAACTTTTTATACACTAATAGAATTACCTATACAAAAAGGAACATCTATGATGAAAATGTTTTAGTGTAATTTCCATTGACATTGATTTGTTGATAACTTCTCTTCATTGAATGAATGGTATCTGTTCTATTTTACGGAACCTTTACGTTTACTTACAAACTAAAGTTCTTAGCGTTTAAATTACAGTGTGATAGTAGGGGACACGAATCAAGCTCCAATATGTTTCTTTTGTGTAAATCTACTCTTTACACACGGTTATTTTTTAAAAAAGTATTGATATTATTTAACTCGTCGTGAGTCATAGGATCGCGTTGGAGAGACTGTACTCTGTCATGGTACTAACACGCACACTCCATTTCCCACGCAAATATGTAAGAGGCTTACAGACTGATGGTAATAAGTGTTATACTTGCATAGTAGGCTGTTTCACTTCACTTAATGTTAATATTAGGTGAGAGCAAAAATAGTGAAATCGATTATTTACGTACTAAAATTGGGTGAATGGTAATAAGTGTGGTATTCATGTCAATATAAATAATTGACTGCTATCACGCATAAAAAAAAAGACTGAAAAATAAAAGCCACGCTTTTATAACTAATCTTGGTTCCCTATTCCACCAGTTGCTTATACCTATTTTTGCATGCTTCGCTATGTATTTATTGGCATGGATACATGATACAAGTGAACAAATAATATTGTATGATACGCCTACTGTTTATTACAGTAACTTCGCTCCAGAGTAATTTATTTCGGCAGAGAGTATATGCAAGACTGATATGATGATATATATATATATACTTACGGACTTCTCGAAAAAGAAAGATATACTACTTCATTTTGAGTCAGTGGTTCAAGTCTAGAATGCTTGCCAGGCGCGTGGGAAGTCCGGATTCGACTCCCGGCCGACCCACGCTTTGTTTGCTAGCCAGTAATAAGCCATGAAAGAAAAAGAGAGTGGGCAAGTGGCCTGCAACTTTAAGCGTAGAAATAACACTACGTCCACCAGTGAAATTTGAAAGCCTGAAACTCTATATTCCACTTGCAACGCAATGGATTAAAAGTAACATTTAATACATTATAGTTAGCAGTTTGTTACTGAATGACAGTTAACCTTTAGAAGAAATTTCCAATAAGTATTTAATTGGTGGATGGTGACTAGCAGGGGAATCCATGATGGGCATTTCGTTCTGTCTGGGACTCATCATCTGGATGCACCTGCATTTCTCAGTGATTGATGATGTTCCCACCGAGGCTCGAACCCAGTGTCTACAGCCTCAAACGCCAAAGCGTTATCCACTGGACCACTTGTGCTACGAGAGCCACCTCTTGTGCAACGGGCCATATTAATTTAATTTAATTTCTGATTTTCCCGTCGACTGACTGGACCAAGGTGCTCGGTCTCAGGTTGACAAGTTGGCTTCTTGCGCAGATGCTTCGACAATGTCTGGGCATTTAATTAGTATACAATTAGTGGATGGTGGCTAGCAGTGGAATCCAGGATGCGCAAACAGGACGAAATGTGCATCCTGACTGGATTCCACTGCTAGTCGCCATCCACCAATTAAATACTAATTAAATACCCAGACATCGTCGAGGCATCTACACAAGAAGCCGACTTGTGAACCTGAGACCGAGCACCTTGGTCCAATCAATCGACGGGAAAATCAAAAATTCAATTAAATTTCCAATAAAATTAGAAACTTAGATTCTTTTTGATTACGAAATAAAGGTGAGTAGTAGCCGGACCAAAAATAATCGAACGAATCTGTCTTGTTAAAGAGACCAAAAATACTCAATATTCAGAATGTACATCATTTTAAGTAGGGATCAGATAAGGAATGTGATGAAAACATACATAACTGGTATGATATGGGAACAATAATCACCATCTTATTGCTTACTCATTCAAGACCTTTGCTAGTGTTTTACAGGCCACTTTCTCTAGAACTTTGGTAAACTAGTCTTCCAGCTGGGATTCATTCTTCACTGCATATTATTATCTCAGCCGAAACTATCTCAAATGATAGAAACTGTTATTAGTCAGTAGGAAAATAAGACACTAAACGCAGAAACCAACAGTTCCAAAAATGTTCTGCACTTTATCCATAACCAAATTCTACGTTTCTGTCTCTTCATAATGCGTCGGTGGCACAGTGCTTAGGACTCTCGCCGAACATGCACATGGTCCGAGGTTTGATCCCCTGCCGACGCACACCTGATATCTATGGTCAGCCTGCAAAATTTGGTCTACCAATATCACATGCCGAAAATTTCATACTTGTACCAAAAATACAGTGTGTAATACAGTGTAATAAAGAACGTTACCACTTTCACTTAAATAATCATCATGCTCAGTGTGCCTTACATTTTATTTTTCACTTTTTCTAAAATTTAGTCGTTACCGCTAACTATTCATCCAACAGTTGAACTGAATCAGTCGCATAATGTATGTCTTTTGACAAAACTTACAGCTGATACAAAACGGTAAGTGAAGTGATATTTGCAATCATATTTTGTTAAATAATGTTAGATTTTCTGGAGAGTGATCAACTAAACCTCAGCAGTTACGGCTATTATTTTCGGGAACCTTTTAGAGCATGTGGTAAATACACTGCAAATGCTGCGTTGTAATTGTTTTCTAAGGAAGCGGATATTCATAGAATACGATAAGATAATTTACTAGACAACGTAACAAAGGGGCTTGAACAATCTATCATGGAAGCACTGCTAGCAGTCGTTAGGTGTCAAACACAAGTCAAACCGAGGAATAATTACAAACTTCAAATTACTTTGGACTTGTAAACCGCTAATTTTTTTAACATACGACAATAATACTATAATCTGTTAGACAACCAATACATAAGATTGCAGTGATCCTTCAAGCCAATAGATAAACAACCATCATTGTGAAGATTCCATAATAAAATTGGAAATTCTATGTTTTGTTCTATTAATATTAGTACTGAAAAAAGTTATGCAAAGCACTGGACTTCCTTTGGATAAATGTTAAGCAAAATCAACGCATACTAGGTGAATTAGTCTACTTTATGACTAGCCAGTGAGTTAGAAAGATACTCCACTGATGAATTCATCCCCATGCCTTGATTTATCTTGAAACAAGTATTGCCTAGAAATTGACTTAATTCCTCACGAGATATTGTGTTAACATAACAAAAGTTAAATTCGTCTTTGCTTAACGATCGAAATAGTTTGAGTTAATATATTATTGCTAATTGTTTTCATGAGTGTCCTCACTGTTGTTATTATTTCTTTATTATTATTGTTCCCTTGAGTTCCTAGCGGAACAAAGGGCTTCAACTGCACGTCTCCACTTGCTTCTATCTTCCTTCTGCTGTACTTTTCACCTGCATCCATGCATGTTAGTCCATAATCTTTCAACTCCTCTTCACACGATCTCCTCCATGTCACCCTTGGAAGTCCACTCATCACCACTTTCCTTTCGGCCTGGTTCCACTCGAGCGATGGCCTGACGCGCGCGCGATGTCACCAACCGGCTTACTCAGCGAGTGTCCAATTCATCTCCACTTTTTCCTGCATATTTGTTTGGCGGTTGGTTCTTGCTTTGTTTGTTCCCAGCCATAGTTTCTTGGTGGTGATTCTTTCCGGCCCGCCCATCTGATCTTCAGTATAGAGTTAGCGAAGACAGTTGTTGGTTAATGAAGGTCTTCAACAGGCTGTTGGAAATGTTCTTTGTGACCCACCCGCCAAGTTTTTGATTCATATAAAAGAACTGACTTGACGTTGTTTGTATTGAAAATCCGACGGATTTCCAGATTGGTTTCGGGTTGATGAATGTGTTTCTCGCTTGCCTTCCCGATTCTTACTCGATTCGACATCCTCGTCCGTTCCGACTGCTTGTAGTTTAGACAATGTTCCCTCCCTAGATAAGTGAATGAAGTAACCTCTTTCAAATCCCTCCTGTTGATAGTGATTGGCGCTGGCTGTTGCTGCTGTTGTTGTTGTTGGCTAGTTATTTTCATAACCTCCGTGTCTTGTCAATGTTCACCTGGAGTCCTGTCTTCTCCGGCTGATTCTTCAACCAGTTTGTCGGTTTTCGCTTGTGAGTCTTCGATTTCATGACTGTGACATCAAACATAAATCATCCACAAGCGAAATCCAGGTCTTCTAGGTTCTTCACGTCGGTCCAGGATATCCCTGTCTTCTCGCTTCCCACTGTCTGACGCATAATCCAGTCAGTCCACCACAATTAGGAATATCATTGGTGATAATAAACACCTTTGTCTGACTCCTGTGTTTACTCCAAACGCCTCGCTGAGTCTTCCGTTGTGGATGACTTGACATGTGCCGTTGTCGTATAGCTGTTGAATAAGGTTGATGAATATTTGGGGTACGCCGTAGTACTCGAGTAATTTTCAAATTACTTCACGATCAACACTGTCGAAGGCCTTCTGAAAGTCTATAAAGTTGAGGTAGAGGTTTGATTGCCATTCCATACTTTGTTCTGTGGTGACGATGCGTAGAGTTGTGATTTGGTCAGAACATGATTTGCCTTTCCTGAATTCAATTGCCCTAGGCTGGCAGAGTTCTGTATCCTTTAATTTCTCCAGGATGATGCGACTCAGAATTTTACTTGGCGTCGACGGGAGAGTTATTCCTCGCCAGTTCGCTCACTGTTGTTGCACTGGCAATATTTCTGTGAGACATTTATATACACAATGAAAACAAAAATGAAAGGCGGATGCTAATACCTCATCCTTGTAAAAAGAAATCAATATTTCTCCAAAACCATTCATCTCTATACCATACAGTTAGTTGCATGGTCAAGTTTTTAATTCAGTGATATGACATGTCATTCACTGAAAGTTTGTGAAAACAGCCTTCTTTGCATTCTTGATATCTGCCTTAAATATTTAAAGAGTTGAATGTTCCAACTGATAAAAGATATTCAACTTTGAAAATTCAAGTATCGGTTTGTAGGGATTTGGTTGATTTGTTACAGGATTTCATCATAAGCTGTCATTGGTTAGAGAACCATTGGAAAACCTGGGAGTACTGGACAGCTGTTTCTGTGGTCCTAGTTTGGGACTCTTCAGCAGTACGCACCCACCGCCAGAGTTCGAACCCAGGACCTTCTGGTTACAAGGCAAGCTCGTCTACCATTAAGCCAATGGGACCCAATCCAATGGCCAATGGCCCATGAATTCTAACTTCTGCCAATTCACGATATATAGCGCAACCGCTAGCCAATGTCTTCGTCGAGTATTTGTCCTCACACCCGACCTGCTGCACGTTTGAAAATTCACTTGAAATAATAAACATCCTACTTCGATTTACAATTACATCTGTTGGTCTACAACTCACAGAAAGCAAAGTATGAGATTATGTAATCGAGAATAGAGTTATACAACCTTATATCTTTATAACTAATCGGCTTTTTAAACTGAAACCATTATCATTAGTTATGTTTAGTAGTAGCAAGATTGCTCGGTGGAACAAATTCTAATCAGTAACACCAGAAAACTGAGTACTCGTACAGTCAATTGTTATACTCACACTTTTATAATGCATTGATTCCTTTTATGTGTTCTTTTCCTAAAACTAAATTCTGTATAAATCTTCGTATTTGGCAAAAGTGGTAACTTTTACAATATATATATATATATATATATATATATATATATATATATATATATAGGAGTAAATAGTTTTGTATTCATCCGTGTTTAATTTCACTTCACAATATTTAGGTTGTTTTGCGTTGTTATTTGTTTTGGTTTGTGAATTACAATATGTGCATATCTGACCGTTGGCATTCATCAATCCATATATACGCTCTTTCTCACTTTCTCTCTCTCTCTCTCTGTCTCACACTTACGCACACGTACACGTACACAATTACCAACGCACACTGAAGTTGTATGTATTACGTCGATCATACATTCTAAGATAAATATACAAATATTCAAAAACATTCTTTGTTTAATCACATTCCGTGTGCTCAGAACTAGACTTTCAGAACTTTTTTTCTGTAGGTGTAAAAAAAGAAAAAAAAGGATGAAACAGAAAAATCTAATCATCATTTTCATTTAGTAGAAATTAAAGAGTGAAGATGGAATGAATAGTTCATTCACTGTGATAAAAGTGGTACGAGTTTAACGAAGTATTGTTTTTTTTGTTTTAATCACTCAATGATTTACCGATCAGTTAATAGACTCTATTTTAAAATCTGGATAAATGTTTGCATTTTTAACCTGCTGCTGCCTAACATGTGTACGTATCACTTTTATTGATCAGTAAAATACTCAAACAATACTGTTGTAATTATTTGTAGTAGTAGTATTAATATTTCGCGATGACGGAATTACACGAATTCAACCAAAACACAGAGAGGGATGAATTTAGGAATTTGTATTTGGCGGGATTATATTCAATTCATATAATAAATATATTAACAAGCAACAGTAAGTATTTAAACAATACAGAGATAGAAATTGTCAATCACCACATCCGCCACACGTCGAATATCTCCTTGCGTATTTATAATGATGTCTCGGTTTGCTTGCAAGTCGCTGCAATCTTCTAGCTGATTCTGTGTTATTATTTTCATCAGTATCATGTGGACTTATTTCTGAATTATCTATAAAATCAGGATTAGTAGCGGAACCATTAAAATTATAATCGGAACGACCTAATTCATTTATTTGCACTTGATCAAGGTATCTGAACTGAATAATCTCCGATGTCTAATATCTTCACCACTCGATTTCTCATTTTTTGTAGTATGATTCCAAGGGGTCTATAGTCATTCCGTCTGTAATAATGTACATTAGAAGTCGTGGACATCAAATGCTTTCTGAGAATTCGAGATTTGAATAGTTTTGCAGGACTTTCACGGGTACTTGTATGCTCTGCATTCAACAGACGCAATCTATGCATATGCAGCAATTCCTCCGTTTTAATCAGTTGCTCTCTCGTCTCAGTCAGCTGTTGACGAATGGACAACCAGCCGGCTTCCATTTCACTCACTTGTTTCCGAAACACTCCACACTGATGTTCTAAATCCTTTTGCACACCTGACGCTGACTCAACAAAACATTCACGGATCCTTTCACTACTTCGCTTATTCTCAGATTCCAGCTGAACGATTTGAGTTACCAGTCTGCAGATTTCTTTCTCCTTCATTAAACAGGAATCCTCAGCAGCTGAAAGTTTAACTGTCAAAGTTTTATTCTTCGCCTGTAAGCGACCAACCAATTCATTGCTACTGTTCGAGCTCTTTTCAACCTCTAACAAATTTTTTCGTGTTTTGGACAGATCGCATTGTAACTCGGCCACCTCACTTTTACAAACACGTGATACAGTTGACGCTTGAGTTGCTGAACTTGTAGTGAAGGTTTTCGTTGGATAAGATTGAGTATTTTGAAAAGCTGAAAGACACATTGACTCCATTTTACTAGACAAATTGGGAGAATCATAAGAATTCTGAGTAACATAAGTATTCGAACTTCTGCAAGCAGTCTTGATGTGTCCAACTTTACCACATTCATGACACTTAGCAACCTGAAAACGGCAAGTGCTTCGTAGGTGAATCTTTCCACAGGAAAAACATGGTTTAATGTTTTTGATCTCTCGCTGCATTTTATTACATGTGGACGACAGTCTGGATTTCTTTCCATGAACACTTGTATTTTCAACTTTGGATGGCATGACATCAGGCACTGACGTAGTGGGAGCACAGTATTCACTGTCGACATCTTCATATGTAATACATGAACCTTTAGCAGTTTGAAAGGTACAGGAAGGGATCTGAACCAACTCTTTCTCTAGCTTAGGAATATTGACTCCAGCAATTAGATGATCACGTAGTTGAGTATGGAGCTGATCTCCAAAGTTACACTTTGAAGCTTGTATCTGGAGCTGAAGAATAAAGTCTCTAATATTCTGGTTGGGAGCACGAACCAGTTTGTTGAATTGAGCCCTCCCTCATGTCTCAAAAGTAGTTATATGGAATCGGTCTATTAGAAGTTCACGGAGCTTATCATATGGCAGAGAAATTGGTTTATCAGGAAACGACAGAGTCTGGGTATTATTTTTATTTTAAAATTCAGCGTATAGAAATAAGGAGACTACTTGAAGCAGTAAATTTGCGTTGTAACGTAAAGCCGCATTAATGCTATGAATGGATATCCATTGTTGAAAGTGTGTCAAAGTTTCTTGAATATCTCAACGGACGTGTCAGCGGTTTCTTGTATTGCCATTGTAGTGTGAAAGATTGAACATTGAGTTGTTGTCTTACTAAGAAATTAAGTGGACAGTTATCAGAACCTGCAATTCATGCAAAACTAGATAATGTCATAGTCGTTCAACGGTGTTATGCCGACCTAGAAGTCCGGTAGTTACGTGACTCTTCTCCATCAGTTTTGATACTGAGCATTATTAGAAAATTTCAATCAAGAAAGAAACAGCTTACGAGTGGTTATTGGGTCTGAGTTAAGTTGAGTTTGAACGGCTTATATATATGACCAGTGTCAGCTTTTATTTTGAATGAAAACATAAGACGATACTAAAAGACGAGTTAAATAATTCTCATGAGGAAGTCAGGAGATACTTGTTCATGTTCTTATCTTCGTCTAGTAAATGCTAATTTTACCATCTTGAATTACAGGTTCTTATGGTTAGGAGGTCTAAATCGGTGGCGACCGAATATCTGAAGTCTCCGATAGCAGTAAATTCTATAAATTAGACTAGTCAGACAGAATCAGCAGGAATTAAAGTATTTCAAACTTGTCACAGTTGCCAATTCAGTCTGAACTCAATACGGCGAAATGTACTCTCATATATCTTTACTTGACATTTTATATACACCTAGCAAATTCGCATATTAATTAAAAGGAGTAAATTTCAAAATAGCTTGAAGTTTCCGTTTTTTTCACAGATATCTGACATCTTTCAACATTTCAACTGTCAACTAGGAGATGTTGATTTTTTTTAAAATCTTCTATATATTCGAATTGGTTTACGCCTCATTAAACTTACATTTTTTTACATGATCTTTTTAGCATTATGATTGAATACATTTACGAAGTGTTCAGTAAATCTGAGAGAGACTGTATACAAATTGTACTGGATTTCGATGAAAGCTGTTTACTTGTTCAGGATATGACAAATGAAATGAAAGAGTTTAAAAAACAAGTTACAAGTGAGATTCCATATATTCCTGAACAGATACGTAAAATCAGAATCCATCTTCTTGACAATCAACTAAAGGTCAGTGTACATTTGATTTTGAATAAAATCTTTTGAATCAAGTTTATATTCTTTAAACTTATGATGGGATAACTGATACTATAAAACGTAAGGGAAAAAAATAAGTAGTCCATAGTTCAAACTAAAAAAAGTTAACAACAAGTAATGAACTTATGATGAAATTCTTCTGCGGATGCAGCCTGTTTTCATCATACTGACTTTCTGTCACTGTTTGAATTCCATTGGAAGGTTAGGCTGAACGTGTTGTCTAGGACGAAAACTAAATCATCCACCTGAGTCGAAACATTTCTCTACTAATTCAGGATTATTGGTCTGTTGATGAAATTTCATGTATAGTTTTGCCAAGAAGTGGATATCAAAGCCAGAATCGGAAAAGCAAGACAAGCTTTCATTACTCTTAAGTCTGTGTGGAGGTCAACAGCACTCAGAATGAAAATGAAAATAAGATCCGGATTTTCAACTCCAATATAAAGTCAGTCAGTGCTACTATTCGGATCAGAGCACTTGGCGCGTCATAAAAAGCATCTCAAACAAACTTCAGACCTTCATTAACAGTTGTCTTCGCTCAATACTCAAGATCAGATGGCCAGAAGAGATCAGCAATAGCGAGGGATCTCTGGCAATGAGCGAACCAACACAGCAGGAACCGATAGTGAAACAAATAGGCAGGAGGAAATGGAGATGGATTGGCCATACGCTGAGGAAACCATCAAGTGACATCACTAGACAAGCTATTGGTCGAGTGGAACTCAAAAGGGAAGTGGCGAGTTGGTCGTCAGTGCAAGGGTGACTTGGAGGAGGTCGTGTGAAGAGGAGATGAAAGCATGTGGGCAGACTTGGAGCGGGGTGAAAAAGTTTGCAGAAAACAGAAGGCAATGGAGATGCGCGGCTGAAGCCCTATTTTCCTCTAGGAATTAAAGGATATAATAATAATAGTTTTGCCAGGCAAAACGCCTATGACTGACAGCAATTTATTACAAAAGCAAACCCAAACGCGCAGATTACCGTCAGCAGATGAAATCATTCATATATATATATATATGTTACAAAGTAATACTAAATTTTTAAAATGTCATTTATATATATTCAGTACAGCGTTGTCAACTTCTTTCTAGTTAATTCGTATTAGAGTGCTAGAATACCGTCTATGAATCTGCTAAACCTTACTGTGCAGATAGAAACAGTCACATCATAAATCACTTAGGCAGCAGCTACCAGTTTACATATATTGTACAATTGACATCGGATTCTATTTTGATGGTTTACAAGTGTAACTACGACAATTTTCATAGTGAATTGTAAGTCTCATTTACAAACAGTCTAACCACAATCAAAATATATTTGATTGTCATTTAAATACAAATCATTATCCCAATTGATTGTCACTTGCAATTCAGTATACGTTCATTGTTCAGAAAAGCTTAATTTTGACATTCTGTGGATAAGTCTCGATTTCAATCACTTTTTTCCTAACTGTATTTGTAATGGATATTTATAGACATTGATAAAGAGTTAAATGATAAGTTTTAAGTTTGTTGGTTGCCTAAACAACAATGACAAATCTTCTAAGCTTGGAAGTGCATAGGAATAAAAGTCATTACCATAAGCATTCATTTGTATGGCACATATTAATGGAAGCTATTAATTAAATACGAGACATCTGCTTTGTATTATTATTATTATTGTTTCTCCCTTGGGTTCCTAGTGGAACATAGGGCTTCAACTGCACATCTCCACTTGCTTCTGTCTTCCTTCTGCCGTACTTTTCACCTGCATCCATGCATGTTAGTCCATACTCTTTCAACTCCTCTTCACACGATCTCCTCCATGTCACCCTTGGACGTCTCACTCACCGCTTCCCTTTCGGTCTCCACTCGATGGTTTGACTCGCGATCTCATCCAGAGGTCTCCTCAGCGAGTGTCCGATCTATGTACACTTTCTCCTGCATAATTGCTGGTTGGCGATTGGTTCTTGTTTTGTTTGTTGCCAGGCATAGTTTCTTGGTGGTGATTCTTTCCGGCCCGACCATCTGATCTCCAGTATAGATCCAGCGAAGACAGTTGTTGGTTGATAAAGGTGTGCAACAGGCTGTTGGAAATATTCTTTGTGACCCACCCGCCAAGTTTTTGATTCATATAAAAGAACTGACTTTACGTTTGTATTGAAAATCTGCTTTGAGTACCTGCCTATCTCTGTATCAAATATTCATAATGACAATAATTACTATTTTTTTTTGTTTTCATTTATTTGTAATTTAGGTATTCCTGAATACTACTGAAATGTGTGTTTACAGTTTCGAACAGTCCTACTATCTGGAAAACAAATTATCACTAATTCATGTCAATGGCGATTTTATGCTTCTAGACGCACGCATCAATAGAGATTTCAATGAAGTATTCTAATTCCTGAGACCTAGATCTTGTCTACTGTCAGAAAGCCAAATGAACTTTTGATCTGTTCTTTCTCTCTTTTATTTTTCGTTTTTTACCCATGACTAATAGTATTCAACTTCGAAATTACAAACCATTTATTCTCTCTCTATAGAAGGTTGAAAAAATATGAATTAAAAAGAACACTTAATATATAATTGTTGTTTATTTATTCATGGTATCAGTGGGAAATAGCTTCATTCCTCCACTATTAATAATTGTTATCATCAGTTGACATTCAGTTAATTATTTAGATTATGAATAGTTATTATCGGTTAAAGTGAAGATTTCTTATAAAGCATATTATTAAACATATTAACATTTTTAAATATATAATAATTGGGTTTGCTTAGTGTGTATAAGCTTATGTGTGTGTGTGTACATGTACTGGTTTATTTTTTATCGATCTAATTAAAAAACTGCTATAGACGTAACTTTGATCCATTTCCCCTACCTTTATTGAAGTGAGATCACTTATTATGCATGGGGTTTTTCACTTTACTTTTATTTCAAAAAAGCTGCAACACTTTTGCTGTTACTTAATTGTCACTTGAAATAATTATGTCTGTTTAACATCCTACAAGAAATAGCGAGAAAATGATATTTTCCATCGAGAATAATCGTCCAACAACACTACGATGTATGCTTTGTGTTCCATTGAAATAATGTTACTTCTCCTTGTTTTTGATAAGTTTCGGCCTAGTTTAAAAACTTATTCATTTCCTTTCTATTTTTTTTCTTAATATAAAAAAGGACTAGCAAAGACCGTATTAAATTATTTTACTTTTATAGTTGTTTTTGATAAAGGTGTGTGTATTTCTTATTATTTTCTCGTAAATCGGTTTTTTTTTCTGTCAATTGTTTAAATTGCAATTTTATTTCTAGTAGTTCTAAAAGCGGATAATTTAATATTCATTTATTATTTGAAGATTCATGCCACTAATTTTTAATATTCATTTATTGTTAAATATTGAAATAAAACTTTTTACTAGAACTATTGAACATGACAAGATAGATTACTTGGATAAGGTATAGAAACGCATAAGAGATTTTAGTTTAAGCTGTTAAAATGTCCATGCTTTCAAGATGGTGGTGGAATTTCCCCTTTCTGTTGTGTAGAGTACACTAAGTAATGGGGGCTCGTGATTCGAAAATAAGACGTTCCTTTGCCACGAGGGTTTTCTAGACTCAATTGACTCCATAACCTCACTGCCTGAATAAAAGCTCGGAAAAGACGGGAGCTTTGGAATGCAACTGATAATCCGATTCTTTTCGAAAGCAACACGATTTCAAGCTTTTCGGGTTTCAGCAGTAGTGCTATATTATTTTTATAACTTTGATTACAGCTTGATTCCACACTGTATTTCTGGTACAGGTATGGAATTTCCAGCATTTGATATCGGTAGGCTGAAATTCTGCAGGCCGACTATTGATAGCAGGTGGACTTAAAAGAAAGAAAAGAAAATACTAGATTAAACTTAATCTCCCTGTTCCTGTATTTACGAATAATAAACATGTGCATATACGTATATGCTAAAAAACATAAAGGAAAATATTTTACCTTTGTCTTTAGATATTGGGATGTAAATGTGACTTTTTATTGGACCGCTACTTCGGTCCCCTGAGAGAGCAAAGTCTGGAATGATGATCTCAGTGAGTTTAGAGTTAAGTAGATCAAAGCTAAAAATCTTAAGCTTACTGTGAAGATAATTAAAAGTTTAACGACAGGAGTCGTTTCTCGTGGGACCTCCACATTATGTTAGACATCGCACAACATAATGGAATACATCTTTTTTTCGAAGAAATGTAAATGAACAAACCGGTAGCACATTTCTTTAATATTTCCATGTCTTATTATGATTGGGAATGTATAACATTCAAAATAAGGTTGAATGCTAGAACAGGAAAAAACATTTTTCATTTACTTAATCAAATGTGTAGACTCTAATCTCTTCAGAATTATTCTAGTAGTTAACGCCACCTTGATACGTGTTAATCTTGGATTTTGAATGTTCACGACTATTGTAATGGAAAAAACTCCCTAATTACTTTTCATTGAATAATCAGTTCAGTTTATTCAGAAATCAGGAACTCCGGCAACATATCAACCAAGAACCCATCGTTCAAAAAAAAATGTCAAAAGAAATGGAAATGGTTTGGACACACACTGAAGACACCGTTAAAACTGACATCACGTGACAGGTCCTCGTTTGGAACCTAAATGGGGAATCAGGAGTCTGGCGTTCATGGATAACATGGAGTAGATCGAGTTATCAGAAGATGAAAGCCCACGGAGACCATGGAGCCAGTTGATAAGAATGGCAGAGAACAGGATCATGTGGAGATGTGCCAGTGAAGCCCTATATTCTAATAGGAACACAAAGGAATAATAATAATAATGATAGTTCACAAATCGGCCACTAAAGGAAATTACTGTCTGACATAAATATACTGATATCAAAGTTCCCTTATTTAATGATTACTTGTCACTCATTAGAAAGTTTTTCAATAATATGATACAAATTATCCTTTCTATTGTGAAAAGAATGACGAGAATGGTAAAATCGCTGAAATATTTAAAGATTTACTTAGGCTAGAAGAATGGACTTTTTGGTTTATACTGTATTGAATTAAAAATGACGGAAACTAATATTTTGATGAAAAATTACAGTTTTACAAAATGTTTTGCACGTAGCACCTCATATCATCAAATATTGCAGATGGATACACATCTAAGGGAACAGAATAGAAACTGTTGGACTGACTGTAAACTACATGTTGCTAAGTCATCCGAAAGACAGGATTATTAGAGAGAACTAGTATTTAAACACATTTGTTCCAATGTATTTGAATAGCATAGCAACATGTTGATTAATTTCAGTCAAAATTTTGTATTTAAGAGAGACACAGAGAGTGCTTATTTTCACTTCACAACACTTTTATCCCTTCTGTCCATTTCCTAGCCAGCCTGAAAGTGATATTTCCTCAGATACTGAGCCAATTCTGAATAGTATTTATTGGACGAACACAATTATATCCAACTATTACAGGATTTATACAAACTTGCGACAATTGAAACTAGCGTTTTTGATAGTAAAAATATTCTTTATTGTATTTCTGGTGAGAATTACGGTATTCCTATTTGCTCATTAATAAGCAATCTTCACTCCTGGTTTCATTACATATCAAAAATACTACTATTTGACAACAGATAAATATACTTACGTACCTTAAGCCGTGCCGCAGCTACTTCAAACGTTTTTTCTGTGGCTGATCATTGACTGAAACTGAATCGATCCATACATTTTGGTCTCTGCACTCCTTAAAATTTATCTCGACCTTCATTTCGACCTTATTTAATCGGCTTTCTTCAGCGTATTATCTCACCAGGGTACTTTAATTATTTCTTATGAGTTTCAAGACGGTAAGTCAGTAAACAAATAATATCTAATGAATGTGCCTCTTTAAAAAATATGACTACTTATTTCGAATTATGGCTTTTGTAGAAAATTGGATTAGATTCGATGTGGATTTGATCGCGAACTAGAACCATTCAGAGAATCGCTGAGAATCAGGGAGCAGTAGACAGCTGTTTCGTTCTAGTTTGAAACTATTCACCACTGCACATTCCTAACCACACTAGGCGTCGCATCCAAGACTTTTTGTTATGGGGTCAGTCAGCTGACAGTTGAGCCAGGAGTTCAGAATTCAGTGACGTCTGAGCTATATGGTAAACTGACAGGAGTTATAAATCACAAATCAGTGCATTCTAACCCAGTGGCTGAATGCCCTACATGTGGTCCTTCATGGAGTCACGGGTAATCACTGACGAAGAGTCCAAAGCTGTAAGGAAACGGCTCTTCAGTGCTCTCTACTTTTCACTAATTCTCAAGATTAGGTTTGTAAGGATTAGATTTGTTTTAACTAGTTTGACCACATACTAATATCAGTTAGAGAACCACTGAAAATTGGGGAGTACTGGACAGCTGTTTCACCCTAGTTAGGGAATCATCGGTGGTACGCACCCACCGGGACTCGAACCCGGAAACTTCAGGTTACTAATATTCTAACTGATGGTGGTTTGTGGCCAAATCTACAATGAATTCCTTAAGTAATGACACTAATTTTTCCACTAAAGAAATGGTAAAGTATAACTGTTTCTAGGCACTAGAAAGATAACAGACTACTTTTAATTCAATATAAAGTTGTTTTATTATACCTCAGAACTGTCGGCTGATCCGTTAGTCGGGAGTTATATGGATTTTTATTTTCTGCCAAGTAAATAGGGATAGTGAATAAAAGCAAATATCACCATCTCACTTATCATATAGTCTGTACTATATAAACCTAGTGGATGTAACGAACCATGAATGCAGAAGTACAATTCTTGGCTTCAGATAAGTGAGTCAATATCCTCTATAGATCTATGACGAAGTTATTATTCCAGTACACAATAAAATGATTACATCTCTTAAATTTACCACTCTATTTTTTAAAAGAAAATTATAAGTATTTACATGTAAATTAACTGATTTAAGTAAAACTATTTTCTTCCAACCTAGAACTAACGCACAGTGGTAGAATGTTCCCCAACCACATATGTGGTCCGGGATTCGATACCCACCAATGCATTCCTTTACCTCGCTAAGCAAGTAATAAGACCAGTAGACAGGGAGGGTTGGCCATGAAGCTAGCAACCTCATTCCGTAAAAATAAATACCACTGCTACCGAAACTTCACGCCTCTAGCCTGAAGCTCCATATTCCACTGGGAACTGAAAGAAATAAAAAATAGAAGGAAAAAGAACTAATTACAGAGAGCGATTGTGAAACAAATAGGCAGAAAGAAATGGAGATGGATTGGCCATACGCTGAGGAAATTATCAAGTGACATCACTAGACAAGCCATTGCTCGAGTGGAACCCGAAAGACAGGCGGCGAGTTGGTCGTCAGTGCAAGGGTGACTTGGAGGAG